TCACTGTCACTATTTTGCTTCCCCATTGTTTCACTCCAAAAACATTTCCTGAATATCTGTTGCACGACAAGCACCATGTTAAGCACTGAGGACACAATGCTGAACAAGACACTGTCTGTGCCTTTAAGAAAGAGATAAGCAAGCAAACAAAAAATTACAATCTGATGTGCTAAATGCTATTCTGAAAATATGCTGTGCAAGGGGTACAGCCTGGGAAGAGGGAATCAAGCAAGGAAGGCTTTCTGGAAGGGGTGACACAGCTGAGCTGAGTCTCGAAGAAAATCTCCCCAAATATTGCCTCCTCGGTGGAGTGAGTCTTGCCCTCCACCCCATGCACTCTGTATATTTCTCCATTTTGCTTACATTTCACCGTATATTTATCTTCCTATCTCCCTTCCTAGGTCCTAACTTGCTAGAGAAACTGTGAGTTTTATTTATCATTATTAGCTTAGCCATGACTGCATGACAAGCACATAGTACACATTCAATCAATATCCATAGAATTGATTGGTTTTCATTTTAGCTAATAACTCACAGCCCTGGTGAAGGACTCCATTTTTATGAATCCTTCTCATGTGTAGTAATTCACGGCACAGTTCCACATCAACCTTTGAGACTTTCTGCTCAGCCTGACTGAACTTTCACTTTTTGTTACTACCATCGTGTATACATCTGACCGTTCCAGAAGACTCCCTAACAGGGAGGACAGTGACTCTCACAGCCTTCTTCCCTGGGAAGCTGCATCAACCATGGCCTACCTGGGAAGACAGTGTTCTCCCAGAGGGCTGCCGAAGGAAGGACAAGGGCCACACTGCCATCCCAGGATCCTCTGTCAAGAGCGTCAGTCATAAGTACCGTGGAATGACTGACTGGGTGCATGTGCTTCCGTACCTTCATCTCTGGAAACAATGACAAGAGGTCTGAAACCAGTTTGAAACCTGAACATCGTGGCTTGACTTTTTTTTTGCATGTTATCTGTGGGCAGGTTAAAATGATCAAGTTCTATTTTCTAAGCTGGACCAGAATGAGGTAGTGGAAATTCATTATAATGCAGTGTTTCCCAATGTGTAAGACACATTCCACCCAGGGTTTGCAAGATGATTCTATGTGGTACGCAAATGAACGTGTTTTAGTTAAGAATTTATCTGTTTAAGGGGCACCTGGGTGGCTCGGTCGGTTAAGCGTCCGACTTCGGATCAGGTCATGATCTCACGGTCCATGGATTCGAGCCCCGCATCGGGCTCTGTGCCGACAGCTCAGAGCCTGGAGCCTGTTTCAGATTCTGTGTCTCCCTCTCTCTGTGACCCTCCCCCGTTCATGCTCTGTCTCTCTCTGTCTCAAATATAAATAAACATTAAAAAAAAATTTTTTTTTAAAGAATTTATCTGTTTAAGTTTAGCAACCTATTTTAAGAGCCATATATGTATTAACAGTTACCTTTTACTGGGGGCAAGTAAACGTATATGTGGATTTAAATCGATTGTTATGCAAATAATAGCACAGGTATTCTTAGAGGAGAACCACTGTTACATTACATTCCTCAAGATTCATACCGACCAGTAAAAATTACGGCAGGAGATGTGCCAGAGCCAGAAGAAACCTTGGAGGCTATCTAATTCAATTCAATACTTTATTCACTTATTCATTCAACAAATATTTATTGGGCACTTACTGTTTATTAGGGTTTGGGCAGAAGAACTACAGCGAACCAGAGATAGTCTAATGAGTGAAACAGATATGAAATATACAGAGGAATTATAATTATGATAGGTTCTGTGAAGAAGTAAAGCATATATGAAACCATCAACAGTAGAATAATGTTTGAATGAAATCTTAAAGGATCAGAAGGAGTTAACCAGGCAACCCGAGCTTGCAGGTGGTACTGAAGGCAGGCGGTGGGAAGAGAGGAGGGTGTGTGAGACCCAGACAGAGCAGTGTACCTGGACTAAGGGACAATCCAGCCCCTCAGTATGCAAATATCTGTATAGATCACCTGTGGCAGTTAATTTCAATCAGGACCAATCCAGAAATGGAGGCCCAACAGTGAAGTGACCTGACATTGGCCACACATCCTAAGAGCAGCAGGACCAAAGCCTCAATCTATTCCCTCCTGGGTCCATACATTTACCACATGCTTAGGTAGCGTCCTATATTCGGGCCCTGTACTGGGTGCTGGCGATTCTACAGGGACCAAAACAGACAAAACCTTGCCCCACACAGCTTCTATTCTGATATGGTGGAGACAGCCAATAAACAAGTCAATGTAAGTGTGTCTGTCAGTGGGGTGATGAGGGGTGAAAGGGTGGCTCTGGAAGGGGTTGATACTTTGTATGAGTGACCCTCTGATGATGTGGGCAGAGGCCTGAAGGGAGACAGAGAGAGCACAAGTGGGGAGGGGCAGAGAGAGAAGGAGACAGAATCCAAAGCAGGCTCTAGGCTCTGATCTGTCAGCATACAGGCCAACGCAGAGCTCGAACTCACAAACAGAGATCATGACCTGAGCTGAAGTCGGACGCTTAACCGACTGAGACACCCAGGTGCCCCAAGACTAGTCAGGTCTCTTAACCCCACTGTGGCCTCTTCCTACCACTCCATGCTGTTCACCGGTCTTCGGGCTCCTTCTGTTCTACCTGTGCTAAGAGCAGGCTCAGCTCCTTCAGCTCTAATGATATGCTGACCTACACAACGTCTTCATAGGAAATTTAGTTTCCTGGGTATAATATAGGAGGGATCTCTCAGAAGGAATCTCCATCTATAAATGCTAAATGGCTTTAGGGTTCATTGAGCACTTTGTGGGTGTTTGGGGGTATGTGTCCATTTCCCAAAATGTAACCATCTCTGGTTCTGATAAAGTCCAGAGTAGGACCTATAAACCAAAGGGAAGGCTTCATCCAAAGCCCAGTGGCCTCACCAAACACTTTTTCTCACTGTGCCTCGGGACACCAGCTTCTCTCTTCTTGCCTTTTCAATAGTCCAGTCTCTACTCAAACACACTAAAACCATGCTTTTTCCTTAGCATTTGAGAAAGTTTGCTTGTGAATAGGCATTGAGACATGGATATTGGTTTCTTACTGGGTGATGACCTTTAGAGTCCTATAGTGCTTCTGACTGAGTTTAGCAGCCTTTTGACTATTCTGGGCAAATGAATGATTTTGGGAAATAAACAAACACATTGAATTCAATCACCAAAAATATTGGGGAGCACGAGTGAAATTGTTTCCTTCAGGACCTCGGGTTTGCTGACCAGCAAATGAATATTTCATAGCCCCGCTGATGTCTGGAGTCCATAAGCAATGCGGCAGGTTAGGCATGGTTTGCAACCAAGACTGGAGACCCTGGGCTCTGTGGAAGGACAGCGTGGTCAAACTGAGGCACGAGGGGCAGCTTCTAAAAGTGGGGTAATGACAGGCCATGGGTACACCACCTCCTCTCAAGTCCATGGCAAAGCCAGGGGGCATATTCCTCATCGCCAGGATCCCATCTCTTCCAAACGTTCCTCAAAGAAAGTAGGGTGCCCAAAACAGACCCATAACTAAATACGGAGTACAAACTGATGGTTGCCAAGGTTGTGGGGTGGGGCAAAAAGGAGGAAGGGGAGTGGGGAGGTACAGGCTTCCAGGTGTGGAACAAATAAGTCAGAGGAATGAAAGGTACAGCATAGGGCCTATAGCCAACGGTATTGTAATAGTGTTGTGTGGTGACAGGTAACGGGAAGCCCTAGGTCAACAGCGCAAGATGAAGAGAGTCCTCCAGGCTCCCCCTTTCCATTTCCTTCTCTCCACAACTTGCCCTCTCTAGGGGGTCTTAATAGAGATAAAACATGGGACCACAGGGTGTGGATGGGGAAAGCAGAGAGGAGGAGTGGCAGGGGACAAAGAAGTGATTTTGGAAAATGAGCTAGATCGAGAGAGGCTAGTCCCTAGCGAATAGAATAATCAGCATATGATTGAAAAGAAGAACTGGATGGTGGGAAAGCAATAAAGAGAAGAGGGGCCAAGGACCAAATCCATATGGACCTGGAGGAGGCCCTGCCTATTCATATCACAAAACACCAAGTCACAGTGTTGTCTGTGTGCCTCGGTGGCACGAGGAACACTTTGCAGAAGTGAACCGGCCATCGCACAAACTGCTCGCTGAAATGGCCCGGGTCTTGCAGGCCTCTAGGTGAGAAGCCAAGTCCATGTAATGCAAAAACAAAGGCCCAGCCATATTATTCATTTAACTGAAGGGCTAGCTGGGCAAGTGAGGCTTTTAAGCCCTGAAAAGTTTCCTGTAGAGGAATTTCAGCTGCATTGAGGCTTTTATTTGACCTCCATCGACTTTCCTAACTGTACAGCACCTGGAAGGAGCATGATCAATCTCTGACAGCATCTCAGGTTGGTAGCTTGTGGTCTTTGAGGCTTGAGTTATCTGTCAAAGGCCTTCCCGTTAAACCATTCCGAGCAGTTAGTTTACATGTCTGTCCCATCTGATCTGATCTGGTTGTTACCCACTGTACTCAATAAAATTCCAGCACGCTGTCATAGAAAGGACATCCAGGAGAAGGAAGCACAGTTTACTTATTAACATGAAGATCTGTTGGGAGCTAAGTTCACACCAGACATAATTAAAAGTCATAAAAACCCTTAAGTAGATAATAATCACAATAGCATCTATGGAAGTCTCGATAACATTATATCGTATTCCAGAAAGCTGTCATTTTTCCTCTACAAATATTACATGAGTTAATTCTGATTATGCAGCTTTAACTTAAGTGTACTTGGGGATAATAAAACATGTTCAGGATGAAAGTATTCTTTGAATATATAGAAAATGTACATATTAGAGATAATTTATGGATCTCCAAAACTTTATCATGTTAAATTTACCTAGTCATCTAACTTGGTATCAGTACCATGTACAAAAGTTTTTTAAAAGCAATACAGTCTTATAAATTTATTTCCAGTGGTTCTCATTATATTCCAAAATAACAATCAAATCCACGCACTTGGCTTCTTGCATTACTTGATGCTTTCCAGGAATTGTTTAATCCAGGAAAGAAGAATATCCAGTTCACTGACAGCTTTGTAGATTCCTTTGTTTCCAATCTGCAGATAAAATAGAGATATAAAAGCAGAAATTTTCACATTTTAAAAAACAAAGTACAGTATTCAAAAACAATGATTTGAAATACTTACCCCATAAAATGTTCTTTTCATCCGGGTAATCGTTTTCATCTCTCTAGCTGATGAAGCACATGAAATCTAATAAATCAACAGAAAATACAGGTTATATTATTGAAGAGGCTGTAATAATACTTTTCTACCCATTCAATAAACATTTATTGAGCAGGTATAATGTTCTGGGCATAGATGTGCACTGGCAAATAAATAATAGTTGGTCTCTGTCATCACAGAGCTTACAGTTCCATAGGAGACGCAGATGATAAATAAAGAAACTAACATAAAGTTACAAATTACAAGGTACGAGTAAATCTGTGTTTGTAATGCCGGGGACTCTATGATAAAGAATTTACAGGAATGGCCTACTTTCAACTGGATGGTCAGGGAAGGCTCTTTTGAAGAATGACGTTTAAATTAAAATCTGAAAAATGAGAAGGAACCAGTGGTATGGGAGCATGAAGAAAGGATAAAGGGCATTTGGGGAAGATGCACAGGAGAGAATAATTCAGGCACAGGGGAGGGTGTGTAAAGGCCCAGAGGCAGGAAGGCAACAAGACTAGAGTAATCCAATCAGAGAGACAAAGGAAGCATGGGAGATGTGGGAACTTACAAGAACAAATTCCCTTTTTGGAAAACCATCCTGTCCACTACGTACATCGCACAGTACGGTATTCAGGCACTAATTGCCAGGAGAAAACATCAGGAAATATTAGTTTCTAAAGCAGGAGAAGGAGCGTTCAATGTTTTGAGAAGATGGCTTGTAACCAGGCTAGGAGAAACTGCCAATCTCCTTTGAGGAGGTGAATTTTCAAACCCTTTCTGAGCACAGAAATCACTTAGTAGTCAAGTAGGAGGTCGTTAACATTGTCTTTTGCTTGCCCATGACTTTAGTTTTTACTTGTGGAAACTCAGTGCTAGAACAGACCAAGGAGGTGGTATAGGCCAATTCTTCTCGATTTACAGAAAAGAAAGCCAAGTCCCAAATGGCTAAGTTGCTTGCCAAAGGTCCTGTCCTAGTGATAAAATCGTGCTGGGCACATCAGTAAAGGTAACAGTTAAAACTCATGAAATGGAGGGGCTCCTGGGTGGCTCAGTTGGTTAAGCATCCGACTTTGGCTCAGGTCACGATCTCATGGTTTGTGAGTTTGAGCCCCGCATCGGGCTGTGTGCTGACAGCCGGGAGCCTCCTTCAGATTCTGCGTCTTCCTCTCCTTCTGCCCCTCCCCAGCTTGCGCTCGCTCGCTCTCTCTGTCAAAAATAAACAAAAACTCAAAAAAAAAAAAGAAAACTCATGAATGGAAACGGCTAAAAGACAGCACTTTTGCAACCAATAAGACATGGCCAATGTCAATCAGCAGGTCCCTTTAGGCCAGAACACAAAGAGAAAAGTGGGGACAATGGGAAGCATTCAGGCTCCTTTTCTTACCAAGCAAAAATAGCTGAAATGATTTGACAGTTATATCCTGAATGCTGTTACCGGGCCTAATGGTGGTGATGGTGTCATGACTGCCCAAGTGGGGACTCTACTTTCAAGTATACGCTGTGTAGAAGGAAGAGACCCCTCTTGTGCAAGGGGCCTCCCCGATTAGGCACAGAAGAGCTTGCAGACACAGAATGTTCGGGTTAAGGTATAGTTTACAGGACTCACGCCACGACATTGGATTTTCCTGTGGTAAGAACCCTGAATTAAGAAGAGGACACTTCAGGGGCATCTGGGTGGCCCAGTCAGTTGAACATCTGATTCTTGGTTTCGGCTCAGGTCGTGATCTCACGGTTTGTGAGTTCGAGCCCTGCGTCAGGCTCCTTGACAGTTAGAGCCTGCTTGGGATTTCTCTCTCCCTCTCTCTCTCTCCCCCTCTCTGGCTTGCTCGCTCGTTCTCTCTCTCTCTCTCTCTCTAAATAAATATTTAGAAGAAGAGGACATTTCAACCCAGACCAGATCCAGTGAGGCCAAAACAATGCGTGACAGATCCTGGACAGTAGTAGGCCATCCCAGAGAGTACAGTCAGAAAGAATCCATTCATTCATTATGCAAATGATGAAGTGCTCACTATGTGTCAAACTTCAGTGCTGGACCCTGAAGACATAATGATGAACCAAAAGAGTAAATAAAGAGCTGCGGACAGGAAATTAAAAAAAAAACAAAAAACAAAGAACACCAGATGAATATTATTAGGTAAAAATTCAGCAGCTCCAGGAGCTCTCTACTTTGTCTCAATCCCCCTGCAACTGAAGACAGAAACACTGAGAAGATTGCTACGTAAAAATAATAACAGTCAACAGGTATTATGTTAGTATTATGTATCAGGCACTAATCCGAAGGCTTTGATTATACTACCGCATTCGGTCCTCACAATAACCCTGTGAGGTAGGTGCTATTGTTATCCTCATTTTGCAGATTCATAAGCGGAAGCACAGAAGTCAATAGTATGCTTGTGTACACACAGTAAGTGGAAGAACTGAGATCCAAACCCAAATATTCTGACTCCAGAGTCTGTATTTGAAACCACTCTATTATACCAAAAAAAAAAAAAAAAAAAAAAAAAACAATCAGCATAACTTGGAAAAGATATTCCAATTCAGCCAAACTCTTGTTGAAAACCTTCAAAATCCAGTTCCAAAGAGAGATTAGTTCAAAGATCTCTGTTCTGCATTATAGAAGGGAAATGCTGGAAATGGCTTTAGAGGACGAAGCTGATCGGCAGAGACAGAGACGATTTCTACGTGAAAATGGGCGATGTGATAATAAGCAGAAGAAGAAATACTGTGGGGGGTGTGTGTGTGTGTGCGTGCGTGTGTGTGTGTGTGTGTGTGTTTCTTTGTTCATTTTGTTTTTCAGACTGGAACTACAAGAGTAAATTCGAGAAATAACAAAGTCTAGGTCCAGCCAAGAGAGTAGCTATGGAAAGAAATTCAGACAGGTCTGCCCATTATCGTATAAATAGACAGTTTGATTAGATGCTGATTCCTTCTGACCTGAAATTATCTAATAGAAAAGTAGTTGGTCCAAATCTTGCAATGGGACGAAAGAGAACTTCATAAGAGAATCAACATCTGCCTAAATCCAAGGCACTGTAGCAAAGTTCTTAGGTGCAAGGATCGACCACAAAGTACAGAACCAAGTTACACGGCACAATATCCAGTATGCCTGTGCTAGGATGTAAAGATTTAACACCAAAAGTGGGAAGCCAAAAAAACCAACCAAATTCTGGACCTTACAGAAGTTAAATATCATTAAGGCATTCCTTCTGACTGTGTCTCTGCCCAGAAAACTCCAGCCCGCAGCACATCCCAGAACAGGGTGGGAAGGACAAGAAGGACTTCTGCCTTCACTCCACCTAAGAAGGACGAGGAGAGGAAAAAAGGAGAAAAATATAAGGTTTGGCAAAAAACAACAACAAGAACCACCTCCACCACCAACAGCAATAGCAAGAAACACTTAATAGTGCCAATGTTGCCACGGGAGCGTGCTGGTTTATGGGATGCTTTCTGGTGCCTTGAGATCCATTCACTATATGTGGCCTCCTAGTAAAGATCTGATGCAGAAGGTTCTCGTTTTCCTCACTGCTGTCAACATGTCTACAGACCCAGCAGAGCAGCCAGGTTTTACGGTCACAAGTCAGATGGCTTTGCCATCTAATATGCAATTAGAGAAATTTCTAATGCAATGATCTCCTCTATCTTATATTTCCGTGTATAGTTGCATTTGCTGAAAACAATGCACAACAAAGGGTCAGCGACATTACTGTAGGAACGGATGCATGATTTGACAAACTCAACCAAAGCAGATGTGATCAGACTGGAGGCCATTTGTTAGTAGAGCTAGAATAACTAGGGCTCAAAGAAAAGTATGAGATGTCAGAAGGCAACAGCCTAGTCATGCATCATTAAGTTAATACATTTTTATTGCATAGTTATTATACACTAAGCATACAATAGTGCCTCCACCCATATCACATTGATTAATTTAATTTTTAAAAGTAGCCTGCCAGGGGCACCTGGGTGGCTCAGTAGGTTGAGTGTCTGACTCTTGGTTTCAGCTCAGGCATGATCTCATGGTTTGTGGGTTCGAGTCTCACCTCGGGCTCTGTGCTGACAGCATGGAGCCTGCCTGGAATTCTCTCTCTCTCTCTCTCTCTCTCTCTCTCTCTCTCTGCGCCTCCCCTGCTTGCTCTCTCTCAAAATAAATAAATAAACAAACAAAAAAGTTTTTTAAAAAAGTAGCCTGCAAGATAGGGGCACCTGAGTGACTCAGATGGTTAAGTGTCCAACTCTTGATTTCAGCCCAGGTCATGATCTCACGGTTTGCTTTGTGAGACTGAGCCCCTCCTCGGGCTCTGTGCTGACAACAGAGTCTGCTTAGGATGTTCTCTCTTGAAATAAGTCAGTCAGAGAGAGACAGATTTCATATGATTTCACTCATACGTGGAATTTGAGAAACTCACAGATGAACATGGGGAAGGGAAGGAAAAAGAAGATAAAAACAGAGAGAGAGAGACAAACCACAAGACACTGTTAAATACAGAGAACAAACTGAGAGTTCATGGGCATTGCAGGGGGTATTAAATGGGTGACGGGCATTAAGGAGGGCACTTTTCCGGAAAAGCACTGGGTGCCATATGTAAGAGATGAATCACTGGGTTCTGTTCGTGAAGCCAAGACTACACTGTATGTTAACTAACTTGAGAATAAAACAATTTTTTGACTTAAAAAGTTTTTTTTTTTTAAAGGAACGTTCTCTCTCCTCTCTCTCTGCCCCTCCCCCTGCTTTCATGCATGCACGCTCTCTCTCTTTCTCTCAAAATAAATAAATACACTTTTAAAAATAAAATACAGTAAAATAAAATAAAACAAAATAAAATAAAAGTAGCCTGCAAGATGAAAAATGGCCTTGGCGCACAAGCGATGGCTCACAGTCTGCTCAGACAAATGGTGACGCAAAATTACAACACTGTGTGATAAATATTGTGATTTAAAAAAAAATACAATTGCTCCAAGAAGTAGAGGCAGCCTGACTGTGGGATTCCATAAGACTTCCAGAAGAAAAACTCCAGTTAGCTGCACCTTGAAGGGTGAGTGTG